CTCTAGCATTTCATGGTCACTGTCACCCAAGTTGCCTTTAAACTTCATATTCTTGACTTATTCCTTCCTGTTTGAGAGCAAGTCAGAGCTCCCCCCACCTCCCCAATTTGGCAACACTATAACCTGAATCAGAAGTTTATCCTCCAGGCACTCCAAAACCTTCATAGACTACCTGTATGCTGCTGTGAAGCGTTACCTTCCTAGCAGATTGTACAGTAACTGAAGTCCCCAGTGAGAACCAGACCAGTTATTTGGAAAGTTGTTTGAAAATAGCTTCATCCACCTCTTCCTCCTAGTTTGGTAGCAGACACTAATAATTACACCCTCTTTCTGTTTTCCCCTCTAACCAGGACCCACAAGCTTTCATGAGAACCGTTTACTAGGGTGGTGCAAAGCTTTGGTTGCTGATTCGATTTGGTGGAGATTTGGCCCGATTTGGTAGCCAAATCTCTGAATCCAAATAAATCAGGAGACCCTTTAATCCCACTGAATTGATTTGGAGAGATTCAACATAGACACAGCTTTAAATGTTTTTTCTACATACCTCAAGGTACCAGGCGGCTCGTGAATGCTGAGATGGTGGGGCAGATGGAGCGTCCCATGGGAGCATGGGGAGGTCCCCAGCACACTTGGCAGCGGACCCAGAAGTGGACAAGAAGCACTTCTGGTCCACTTCTGGGTCCATCGGGGACTGCCCCCCCCGGGCAACTGGTGCCTCCTGGGTCTGGAGGTGCACCCGGGGTCCCCCCCGTGGCTGATCACTGAGCCCTGGGGGCGTGCAGGGGTGGGGTGGGGTGTCTATGGCTGTGTCTATGGCTGAACTGCTGATTCTCCAAATCAGCACTGAATCTTCAGATTCGGATTCAGCCGAATCGAATCGGGACAGTGATCTGAATAAATGAACTGAATCACTGTCTCTGATTTGGGCCAAATCCGAATCAAATACAGCCCATTTCATACACTCCTACTGTCAACCAGTTCATACCACACACAGAACAGGCGTACATCTTTTTTATAAAAGAGCCACATCACCTTTTTCCTCATTTGTCCTTTCTTAACAAGTTAAATCCATCCATGACAAGACACCAGTCATTTGGACTGTTCCATAATCTATTATCCTAGCTACATAAATTGTATGGTTTTACTGGGAATTCCAATTTTCCTGATTATTCTCAATGCTTTTTGTGTTAGTAAATACCTGATTTGCCTAATGGTTGTTTCCCTTGTGCCTCCTCTTAACTGTTTTTTGTCTAGGTTATCTGGCTCCTTACTTATCTCTTCCCTTTTTATATATAAATATAAAATTGCTTTGCTCTCAGCATTCATTGCACTTTGCAACTCAGCAGCAAGAGATCTATGGCTGCTCCAGAGCTGTTCTCAGTCAGGTCTGTATAAAGGAAATTTACTAAAATAAACAGAACACAGCTAATTCTGCAGATGATTATTCCAGGTTGTACCTGTTGCAATTACTTTTTAAGATTAATCCAAGGAACTTGTAAACGCAGCTTCTAAAGATCTCAAGCTGTCACCAGCAAGTGTTGAATGACATTCCTGAAGGAGAGATTCCTGAAGGCCTGCAGAAAGTCATAAACAGAACGGCTGCAAACAAAAGTTGACTATGGAGAAGAGTACTTTGGAGCGGGTTAGACACCCTAAATAGATCTTGTTTGAATGCTCAGCATATATGAGAACACCTGGGATTTTGCCAGCCAGTTGCAGGTGCAGATCTGGCCGGTTTTTTAAAACCACAGTTCAACACATTCAGCTGAACAAGGAACAGTAAATAAGTGGCTAATGGGTGGATTCTGGAAGTTTTAAAAATTATAAGAAAAAAGGGGAAAAAAGCTCACAAAGAGGCCTCAAAAAAGAAAAGGCTTTGCTTAGGGTAAGATGTACAAATCGAGAGCTATCTAAGAATGCAATGCAGCCTAGTGTGGAATACAAATAAGGTTGAATTCTATTTCCCTTTACGTATATCAGTGGAAGGTTTTTATCCACCAAAGTTTCAAAAATGCCACCTACACCGAGGTAACACTTCTATTTTTCTGGGAATGTGTATGTGTAATTGTGCAGATGCAGACTGGGCATGCACAGCAGGCTACACACTGGTTGGGCATGTATGCAACTACATAGTTTCATAGTAGCTAGGGTCAGGAGGGACCTGAAGAGATCATCTAGCCTGACCGCCTGCCACAGGCAGGAATGAATGCTGGGTTCACAAGACCCCAGACAGGTGATCATCCAACCACCTCTTGGATTTAACCAAGGTAGGGGTGAGGACCACTTCCCTGGGAAGTTGGTTCCAGATTTTGGCCACCCTAACTGTAAAACATTGCCTCCTGATCTCTAACCTAAACCTATTCTCCATCAGCTTATTACCATTGTTCCTTGTCACCCCAGGTGGTGCTGGGGAGAAAAGGGCTCTACCTATTTGCTGTTGATCCCCCCTGATGAGCTTGTAGGCAGCCACCAGGTCCCCCCTCAGTCTCCTCTTGCTGAGGCTGAACAGGTTCAGGTCCCTCGGTCTCTCCTCGTAGGGCCTGTCCTGCTGCCCTCTCACCAAGCAGGTGGCCCTCCTCTGAACCCTCTCCAGGCTGGCCACATCCCTTTTGAAGTGCAGCGCCCAATACTGGATGCAGTACTCCAATTGCGGCCTGACCAAAGTCGCATAGAGGGGGAGTATCACTTCTCTGGACCGGCTTGAGATGCACCTTTGGATGCATGACAAGGTATGGCTGGCCTTGCTGGCTGCGGTCTGGCATTGGCGGCTCATGTTCATCTTGGAGTCAATAATGACTCCAAGATCCCTTTCCGCCTCTGTGCTTTCAAGAGGTTAACCCCCCAGCCTCTCCCTTCAAGTGTGTCCACCTCGCCCCACATCTTAGTGTCATCAGCAAACTTGGACAGCGTGCTTTTCACCCCCTCGTCCAAGTCGCTGATGAAGATGTTAAACAGTGCGGGCCCGAGGACCAAGCCCGGGGGTACCCCACTGCTCACATCTCGCCAGGCTGAGTACAACCTGTCCACCACTACTCTCTGGGTGCTCCCCATCAGCCAATTTTTTACCCATCCATCCAACTGTGTAGGCATCAATACCACAGTTACTTAATTTATTGATGAGGATGGGGTGAGAGACAGTGTCAAAGGCCTTCTTAAAGTCTAGAAAGACTACATCCACGGCGACTCCGTCATCCAAGGATTTAGTTACTTGGTCATAAAAGGCAATCAGGTTGATCAGGCAGGACCTGCCTTTGATGCACCCATGCTGGTTGCCCCTGAGCATGATCTCCCCTGCAGGCCCCCCACAGATGCGCTCCTTGATAATTCTCTCCAAGATCTTCCCGAGCACCGAGGTGAGGCTTACAGGCCTATAGTTACTTGGGTCCTCCTTCCTCCCTTTCTTGAAAATTGGGACCACATTAGCCAGTTTCCAATCCCCCGGCACCTGGCCAGATGACCACAAATGCTCATATAGCCGAGCCAAGGGCTCTGCGATGACCCTGCCAGTTCCCTCAACACCCTTGGGTGGAGGGCATCTGGACCTGCAGATTTAAATGGACCTACATATACACCTGTTATGAACACATCCCAGTGTCTATGGCATGAAAATATAGGTGGCCAAAAACCCATGGTTAGAGGCTGTTAGACTCCAGAGAAGAAAGGGGAGGGCCCCTCCAGTACTTTAGTCTCAAAAGCTGAAGGGTTAGAGGGCACTCGCACAGAAATCAGAAAAATTGGGTTCTGTGCCCAGCATATCTAGAGAAGGTTTACACCTGCATTTCTCTGACTTCTAGCACAGTACTCGAAACAGCACAGCATAGGTCAGGCATTTTTCAGTGCTGTTTCTGGCCTCCTGGGCAGCTAAGAATGGGGGGTACATTTGGAAGTATGTGAGAGCCAGTAGGAAGAATATAAGCCAGAGGAAGTGCCTCAGTTTATGAATGCTGCCCTGAAAGAGAGGAGGCACCATCACTCCCAACAAAACAAAACTTTTCCACTGCAAAGGGAAACATAATTACACCCATAACGTTCTTTCTCGGTATGAAAACTGATAAAGCCTCATTCTGCATGACCAGCAAACTGTTTTTTTTCCTGTGGCAGACAGAGGAACAACTTGGAAAAACTGAACTTGCTAATGGAACTAAAGATGAATGGGCTGTTGCAAACTGAGGAGAAATGAAGGGTTGAGGGTGTGAGCGGAGTAACAGTGAATGAGATTATTTCTGCCATGTTTTTCAAAGGGGAATATACATAATGCAAACCAGAGGACAATCAGTCTGAGGAGAATGGCTACAGAATACATGAGAGTAACAGTCAGTTGGACACAAGGGGCCAGATCTTGTTCCATCTGTTATGTACCTAGGTGCCACAGCTTATATGTAAATATTGTGTGTGTGTCTGTGTGTGTGTGTGTGTGTGTGTGTGTGTGTGTACAAATGTGTGTTTGAGTTGAAGTGTTGTTGTAGCTTTGATGCTCCAGAAAATGTCTGAGGCAAGGATTTTTAGTGATATCTTTTATTAGATCAACTATATAGTTGAGAGAATGGTTGGATGAGTTTTCAGATCATCTGAGGAAGGGCCCTGGATGCCCAAAAGCTTGTTGGACATCTCTCCCAGCTACACTGTTGGTCAAACAGAAGATACCACCAAAAATCCTTGCCTCTTGTACATTGTGTGTGTGCATGCACATGCACACACATGCACACACACATACTCACTCTCTCTCAGAATTTTAAAAGGGTCAATATCTGCAATGTAAAATTAAGAAAAAAATTAAATTTCATAGATTTCATAGACATTAGGGCTGGAAGGGACCTCGGAAGATCATCGAGTCCAGCTGCCTGACCGAGGGGCAGGAAGTCAGCCAGGGTCATAGGATCCCAGCAAGATATGCATCCAAATTTACTTTGAAGGCATTCAGAGTAGGTGCTTGAACTACATCCGGCGGCAGGCTATTCCAGACCTTGGGGGCTTGGACAGTAAACAAATTCTTCCTTGTGTCCAGCCTGAAACGGTCTTGTAGTAGTTTATAACCGTTCGACCTTGTCATCCCTTGGGGGGCTCTGGTGAACACCCCTGATAAACTTATAGGTGGCCACCAGATCAGCCCTGAGCCTGTGGTTTTCCGGGCTGAAGCGTCCCATAGCTCTCAGCCTGTCATCGTAAGGTCTGTTTTTCTGACCTATGATCATGCGTGTGGCTCTTCTCTGGACTCTCTCAAGCTTTTCGACATCCTTTTTGAATTGTGGAGCCCAAAACTGGACACAGTACTCCAGTACAAATTGGAAAATATGAATTAAAATTAAGAGTTAAGAATAACTTACTAGTTATTCTCAAATTCATAATTCTGTGTAGTCAAAAGACAGGACTATTTCAGCTAAAAACATCCTCCAAAAAGATGTGAAAAATAATTAAAAAATAAAAAATCAATGCATTTAAAAAGGAAAAAGATAATGGAGAAAGTTGATAGGAATTAATATAAATGTTTTACAAGTTCAGAAATACAGGTAATTACTATGGAAGACTACAGGATTCACTGAAAAGCCTATGGTCAACAGGGATAAGAAAAATATTTTTAATTAGTTTACTTCCAGTATAGTAGGTTCCATTAATAGGTTGTAATTATAAAATAGTAAATAATGATGCAGAAACAGCAGAGTGCTCAATTAATAGTTCTGATCTGTTTTTTAAACTGAAGTTGGACATTATGTCTTGAAATTTCACATAACATGGAGAAATGATGCTGAGAACTAAATAACATTACACAAATCCTATAGGACTGATAATCTACCCGGAAGTCTTGAAAGACCTGGACAAGGAGCTCTCCAGAATCTTGTTTTTAATCTGTGACAAATCTTGAAAAACTGAGATGATATCAGAAGCCTAGAAAAAAGCCAATATTGTGCCAATAGACAGAACTGACTTTCAAAGAGATTTAGGCTCCATGTGCCTAATGTGCTCTTGGAAATTGTCAGTACACATTCTATAAAATGTGAAGAGTGAAGACACTCTTCAGAAGTGAAGACTGTGAAAATGTGAAGATATTCACTGTGAAAATGTGAAGACATTCATTAAAAATGTCACTACACATTCTATATTTTACAGGGCTGTCACCCACAGTACTGGGAAAGATATAAGAGAGAAGTACTGCAATACCAATCCCCCCATATAATAATGAACCCAAGCAAACTATAGGACTGGGAGTGTTAAATGGGGAAGAACAGGAAAAGTGTATTAACACAAAATGATATAACACTTAAAGTGAAAGTGGAATCTGTATAACTTGGTTCTAGTCTGCCTGTGCTCCAATGTTTCAGTGGCCTATCTGTAGGCTGCTTGCCATCTGAATGGCAGTGGCAGAGTTTAAAGTACCACTAAATAGTGCATACACACTGAACAAAACAATGGCCTTAGATTCAAACAACTTACAACTCAGATGAATCAAATCTTTAGTGAAAAGTAACGATCACAACACACCATTTGCCTGGGCACAGTCAAGCTATTTGTAGGCATCAGGAAAAAGCAACTTATAGTCAGACATTTTGAGGGGGGACAGCATGATGACACTAAAGGTTTTTATGGAGGCATTCTCCTTTGAAAAATATAGTGGCATGGAGGTGATGGTGAATGGAGAGCCTGTAGTGGAGAACTGACATGTTTGTAATAAGCTGGGAACTCAATCATTGCAGCAGCACTTGGAATGCAATGATTTTAGAAGCTCTTCTAAAAGTTTCTGATAGTTTCCCTATTTGTAAAATCTTGATCATAATTCTTAGCCATCTTGATATAGCACATTAAGAATTCTGGATAAAAAAAGCAAAATAGTGGTAGCAATAAAAGAGTGCAGTGTTTAGGTGCCAGGGAAGTGAAGAGTGAAAACCAAGATTTCTTCTCAGGCAAAGTGAAGGTGTAAACTGCAAAGCTTAACAAGACAAATAAAATGATATCATTACCCATTACCAGAACTTTTATCTGGTGAATGGTAGGGAGGGAGAAAAGATTTTTATGTTGAAAAACAACACTAGCACAAGATCAAATGGCTACAAACTGGCTGTGGATAAATTTAGATCGGAAATTTAAAAAAGATTTCAAACCACCGAGGTGTAAAGTTTTAAAATGATCTTCCATGCCAAGTGGTGTGTGCAAAGAACCTGAATCATTTTAATTTAGAACTAGGTGAGCTTCCAGAATTGATGCTGTGATGGTACACATTCATTGTTGATAAAGAGGTCTGTGTATGATATATGGAATCATATACATGTAATCCCTCTTTTGGAGTATATAGGTTACTCTCTTGTAGTGTGGTTGGTGTCTGGCAATCCCATACTTCAAGGCTTTTGCTGGTCACCAGTGAGGCCAAGAAAGAATAACCCCCGCCCCCTTCATGAATGCTACTGGTTTGTTGTTTCAACTTTTCTCTGTCAGATTTTGGCATTGGTCACAGCTGAGTTTGGGGGTTTCTGACTGGGGTGCACTGAACAGGCCCCTTTCAGTCCTTTGTGCCTAAAATGAGAAGGGGAAAAAAAGCCCTGCTATTCAAAAATTACATTGAAGAGCTATATGTATCAAAGGAATTGGTGAGCTTTGTACAGGTACTCCTCACTTAACGTCATTCTGGTTAATGTTGTTTCATCATTATGTCGCTGATCTATTAGAGAAAATACTCGTTTAAAGTCATGCAACATTGTTATAACATTGTTTGGCCGCCACCTGCTAGTAGGTGATTACTGTGATGTAACTGGATTCGCTTAACATCGTTTCGCTCAAAGTCGCATGTTTCAAGAACATGACTATAATGTTAAGCAAGGAGTAGCTGTATCTAGTTCTGACACACAGAACTCAGAGAGGACAGATAAAACTGGACACAGAACTATATTTATGAGGAATGGTTAAGCAATTGATTTTTCTGAAATGCTGGGGCTTCAACTGCATTTGAAGTCGGTGGAAATTGTAAATATTTGATGTCTCTGAAAACTGGTCTTTAAAAGATATAGATTAGTGACATTACCTCGAACAATGAAGACCTGCTAATTGTCTGTGGATGTCTAAGGTGTGTAAACACCAAATGGGGGAGTGAATATCCCAAAGCCTCCAAACTGTAAGTTATGTGGAGGAAATAAAACGTAGGTCAATTGAAATTTGCATCTATTTGATTGATGAGAGTGCTAAAAAAATTATTTGAAAACAGATAGTCTAGAAAATCATCCTGCATAGGCAGGCATGGACTTGAAGATCTAATTTGTTCAATGGCAGATATTCTTTCTGTCAGTGAGGCCACTCAGACACCTAATGAGGTAGCTACAGCACAACCAAAGTCCTTCCTAGTAACTAGATGTTGCAAGACATTCCTTTCAGCCTCATTTTCTATTAGCCTATAATAGAAATGCTGATGATAATGGAACCCTGAGAGGGAGTATAAAAAGGAAGGGCCTGAATGGGATGACCTTACTCAGTTACTTTTTTCAGTGGTCCCACCATCTCACTGTATTCAGAGTTCTTGGAGTAGCAAGGAACTTGTAACAAAATGTAGTATATAAAGCTGGTATATCCTCACAACACTCCTGTGAGGTAGGTAAGTATTAAGAGCTGCTTTTTATAAATTGGAGGAGCCAGAAAAAAATAAGTGACACACCCAAAGCTATGCAGCCAGTCAGTGGCAGAGCTGGGATTCTTTGTTTAGGACCTCTATACCTCCTGCATTATGTGTGAATCATTAGTCTGCTTATTTGGTAGTGGCTTGTTGCATGGCTGTTCTAACATACTACATAAAAAAGTCATGCAATGGGCATAGCACAAAATCACCAGAGAACAGAGCCCTCTCAGTGCCAGAAAAGAGTCCTCAGTTTCTTCTGAAAGCAGCATATCACTGACAGATGGCAGCATTTGATAGAATGTATTGATATCTCTGGCTTCTTAACCCTGGAATGCTTGATACTTAAGGCTCCTTACAATGAGAACTGATTTAATGGTCAAATGTAACAAAGATGGTCCCTACGGGCATAAATACAAGGTAACTGGTAGGGGAATGACCCTTTTCCACTCTTGTATCTCTTCTGACACTTTAAAGAATCCAATAATCTGGCTATACAAGCAGACCCGTTAAACAACACTAATCAAATCAGTCTATATTTCCATATCCACTGGTCTGATATCTCCAGTCTTGTGTTCTTTTACCCACAGTTCTCTGTCTTTGGCAGGATCCACATTCCGAAGCAACTGATCCACGGGTTCTACGGTCTAAAGGGAACAAAATGAGAAGCAAACTGTTACAGGCATGTATAGATCTAAGTACAGAACAAGTCCTGCTGCAAGATTCAAACCTGCTGTGACATCAGGACAAGGAATGCTTCCCTGTGGGCATGTCTACACATTCGGTAAAGTGCTTTTGCTACTGCTCATTAAGTTTAATATCTCTAATATGATGTACTAAATAAAGGTATCACAGTGTGATGGCTCACTCTGCACAGGATATGCAAGCAAACTTAGATCTCTTCAACACTTCGTATAAGAGACTTGGCCTGTCCCTGAATGTTGCCAAGACAAAGGTTCTCCACCAACCCACCCCAGGCCAGCTGAACATCCCTCATGCTACCTATGTAGATGGGGAGGCTCTGGAGTACACAGAGCACTTGCTGTATCTTGGTAGCCACACCTCTCAATGGGCTACCATTGATGAAGAAGTCCAGCACTGGGTCAACTGTGCCAGGGCTGCCTTCTTTAAACTGCAACAATGTGTCTTCGAAAACAGAGACCTTTAGAAGTCAACGAAGGTCCTGGTTTACAAGGCGGTCATGCTGACCACTCTCTTCTACTACAGTGAAGCCTGAACCATCTACATTAAGACACTTGAGAGCTTTCACAAAGCGGTCCTTGTGTCGAATCCTGGGGATGAAATGGGAGGGCCACCGGACCAGCTTGAGCATCCTCCACGAAGCTGCGTCCACCAGCATTGAAGCCTTACTTTTGAGAAATCAACTCCAGTAGACGGGCCACTGCATCCGGATGTCTGAGAACTGCCTCCTTCACCAGATTCTCTTCTCCCAGCTCTCCGTTGGCCAATGCTCAAAGGGCAGCCAAAGCAAACGGTACAAAGTCACACTCAAGGTCACCCTCAAGCATGAAGACACTGATACCAATGGCTGGGAGGACCAAGCTGCTGACCATTCAGCGTGGCACCACCTGGTCCACCAAGATGTGCGCCACTTTGAGGCCCAACAACTCAATACTGAGGTGGAATGGTGGCAGCGGAGGAAGGAGAAGGAGACCAACCCAGAGCTGTGAATCCCACTCCCCCACACAAACTTGTCCCCATTGCCGAAGAACATGTGCATCCAGAGTTGGGCTCTTCAGTTCACCTGAGGACCCATCAAGCCTGATGGACGTCATCTTTGACTTCAAGGGACCACCGCCAATGACTACATAAAGGCACATTAGGCTGCCCTAATGTGCAGTACCAAAAGCGAACACCTTTTTAGTGATGCTTAATGAGCACTAGACTAATTCTATTGTGCATTAGCATATTAGCACTGTTTTTAATGTGATGCTTCAGTACACAGTAGAATAGGCTACTGTTCAGTAAAGCACATGTGTACAGAATCATAGAAAGTCAGGGTTGGAAAGGACCGCAGGAGGTCATGTAGTCCAACCCCCTGCTCAAAGCAGGACCAGCCCCAACTAGATTATCTCAACCAAAGCTTTGTCCAGTCAGGTTTTCAAAACCTCCAAGGATGGGTACAACCTCTCTGAGTAACCTGTTCCAATGTTTTACTACCCTCCTACTGAGAACATTCTTCCTAATATGTAACCTAAACTTCCATTGTTGCAACTTGAGACCATCACTCCTTGTTCTGTCATCTGCCACCACAGAGAACAGTCTATCTAGCTCCATCCTCTTTCAAACCCTCCTTCAACCCCTCCTGCTATTAAGTCCCTTCTCAGTCTTCTCTTCTCTAGACTAACTAAGTCCAGCTCCCTCAGTCTTTCCTCATAAGTCATGTCCACCAGCCCCCTCACCATTTTTGTTGCTCTCCACTGGACCCTCTAATTTCTCCACAAACTGTGTAGATGTGCCCAGTGTGTGTGGAGTAGGGGACCAAGATAATGTTCCTCTTAAGAGGTGGGGGAAGGGACCTGGAAATGTGCATCTTTAATTCCAGGGATGACTGAAGGACCAAGGAGCTGCTAGAAGTATTTAGAGGCAGGTGGAAGAAAGAGGGGTTTGTTTTATACTATAGCACTGGTAAGGCCTGGTGAGGATGGGGCCAAGCACACCCTGTACACCTATGTTTCCAGGCATGGTCCAAACCCAGAAACATGTCAGCAAGGTATTTGCAACTTGGCCTTCCGTGCCTACTCTCAAATCCTCAGTTTCTGGAATTTCTAAGCATTCTTGCTAGAAAATCTCTGCACTTGAAGCATATGGGTGGCCATGGTATGCTCTGCCTCAACCTTACTAAGACTTCACTCTGCCATAATGCAGAAAATGTGGACAACCTGCCCTGTTAACAGAGGATTTTGATTTGCCCACATAGTCCCATCCATACTGATTGGGTCATTAACTTTGGGGCTTTGAGTGCATTTGTATAACGTGGCCCTGCCCTGTTACTGGAGGTTCAGGGGAGTCTGAACAGTCCCACACCACAGAAGCACCTCTGCACACCGACTCCAGTCCTGGGAGAACTCACCAGAGGCTGGGGAACCAGGTCCTGGGATGTAGTGAGTCCCTCAGCAAGGGAACTGACACAGGTATGGGGAGTGAGACCGGGTTAGCCACATGAGCCCAGAGCGGGAAAGATAAAAGACACTGAAAGCAGCCTCAAGGGGCTGCACCTGGCTAAGGAGCAGGCTGCCTGGAGCCTGGAGTTACCAGGGGTTAAGCAGCCACCTGGATAGCTCAGAGCAGGGCTCTTCTCTGTTTGTTTGTTTGCTTGATCATTTTCTTTGTTGCACAAGCCTGCAGGCTCTGCAAAGTCTCTGAAAGATAAGAGGCAATCAGGAGGTGATGCCTGGAAGAACCACTGGAAGACAGTTAAGTGCTAGCTTATTTGTTTAACTTCTTTTTGTTTTGCATGGGTAACAAGCCTGGGGTGGCCTCTGGGTATTATCTACGAGCCTGGCTGCAGCAGAGGCAAGGGCCCTGAACAGTGGGTCCTTGGCCAAAGCCAGCTGCAAAAGTAAAACTGGTCAGCTCAACTAGCTTGACCAAACATACACTGCTATGATCTGCCCAGACTCTTTTCATAGTAGCCTACAAATTGGCATCTATCCAGCACACAAGCACAATGACAGGCAGCAATCCTTGAAGAGCCAAGACATTATAGGAAACCACTAAAACCAGGTCAGAAGGATTGGACAGCCAGTATCGGGGCAGGGCACGTACACATATCTTCACAGACAGTGGGGAGTTAGTAAGAAGTATTGTAGTGACAGAGGCAGAATCCTACTTTGCTTTATGTGCCCAAATGGTAGTCTTCCAGCTGTGTAACAGAAATGTATGGTGAGAAGTGTTACAGGAAAATTGTGATTTCAGAAGAGATTTGCCAGTGGAATCAGCTAGTGTCCCGCAAGGAAGAGTAAGCTAGTGACAGGGCTAAATGGTACATTATCCATGTACTGGCTTTTTTTCCTGAAAATAAAATCATAATCCTTAATGCTTGCTACCATTTCCACCAGGTTCTTTTCTTTTCTCTAAGCACAGGTGCATGCTCTTTCCTGTAGGGATTCTGAGACATATCTGCTGCAAGCAAAAGTACTGTAATGAGGACTGCCACTCCAACCTTCATTCAAGAATAGATGTAGTCTGGGCATCTATTCTAACCCTATGAAGATGGAGTTTCATGCAAGTGGGGAACTGTGTCAAAAAACCTGTTCTCTGCCCCCAGTATGCTTATTAGGGGTGTGAGAAGCAGGCCCTATTCGATCTGGATTTGGCCTGAATCAGGGACAGTGATTCGATTTGCTGATTCAGATCACTGTCCCCAATTCGATTCAGTCGAATCCAAATCTGAAGATTCAATGCTGATTTGGAATCAGCGATTCAGACATAGACACAACTTTAAAAGTTTTTTCTACGTACCTTGAGGTAGCAGGCGCAGCTCATGATCGCTGCGATGCTGGGGTGCATGGAGAGTCCCACAGGAGTGCAGGGGGGCCCTTCACATGCTCAGCGGTGAACCCGGAAGTGTACCGGAAGTACTTCCAGTCTGGGTCTGTCAGGGAGCATGCTACGGGGCTCCTTTGCACATCCCTGGCTCAGCAATCAGCTGCAGGGGGACCCTGGGTGCCCATCCCAGACCCAGGAGGCACCAGTCACCAAGCTGGGGGGGACAGGGCCCAGCGTGCTCCCCGGAGGACCCAGAAGTGGACCAGAAGTGCTTCTGATCTACTTCCGAGTCTGCTGCCAAGCGCTCCGGGGATCCCCCTGTGCTTCTGTGGGACACTCCATGTACCTCAGCATGGAAGCACTCTACATACCTAGAGGTATGTAGAAAAAACAATTAAACCTGTGTCTATGTCTGAATCTCCAAATCTTTCCAAATCGATTTGGAGGGTTCCAATTTGATTCGGAGAGGTTAAAGGGTGCCCTGATTTGATTCAAATTTGGAGATTCGGCCACCAAATCAGGCCGAATCTCTGCCAAACTGAATCGGGGACTGAAGCTTCGCACAGCCTTAATGTCTATACAGTTTTCCCAAGGACTCTGATGCAAAATGCACAAACAGTATAAGCAAGTGCTCACTGCTGAAAGGTGCTGACAGAGAAAACCCTATTGCAATGCTAAAGGGTTTACACCTGTCAGTGAGGACTGTTAACACTCCTGAGTAGCAGAACTGAAGAAGTTGTGTAATGGGTCTGCTTAGTGACCCAGGTCACTAAAGAACACAAACTGTTTGTAGTGAAGATGTAAGAAAAGTTACCAAAGACTACTGAAAGTTTAAGGGGTTGGCAGCAGGAAAAAAATAGATAAAAGAAACTACTACGTAAGAAAGTTCTAAACAATTTGGAGCACCCAATTCCTAGCCTGAAAATGGGGTAGAAGTGGGGTAACAGGAGCACGAGAAATTTGTTACAGAACAGCCAGGGTATGGGGCATGAGTACCACCCTCCATATGCATGGGAGCCACAAGAGAATCTGATAGTTCACATCTACTAA